ACCTCCACTCACTCAAGGGGGACAGAAAATATATGACCTGCGCTCGGGGTGAGACGGGGGTTTTGTGTACCTTTATGAATTCATGCACGATATACATTGAATGCAGATTTAGTCCTGTAGAACATCTGGTATATACAATATTGTCTGTCTCCATGGATTTGCACAAGATTTGAGATGATTTCCTATAGCAGCAAATCTGATGAGATGAATGAAGTGGGTGTAAAGTGGAAGCAGTGGATGTGCAGGGAGCAGCATCTTGAGCACAAAGCACTTTATGTTGTGGATGGATTTGCACACGGTTCAGTTTCCTTCATTTATTGATAAACCCCATAAGACCAATGAAGTGGGTGTAAAGTGGAAGCAGTGGATGTGCAGAGAATAGGATTTGGAGCCCCGAGCTCTTTATCTCTGAATGTCTCCACATTTTTGTAGTGTATTTGTGATGATTTCTGTGCACACACAATAGGACAGCGCTGTGACACATAATGCTCTTCTAGATGACAGGGAATCCTTCCCTTTGTTACAGCAGCAGTCCGCTAGAAGGTTTTTTGTAGGTTTGGAGTTGTTACACATAGCGCGGGTTTTATCCATTTATAGTGATGACATCATTGCCCAAATCTGGGGGTCACCAGCCATTTCCACCCTTACTCCCAGCTGGGGGGCTTTGTATCCATATACCAGATGTTCTACAGGACTAAATCTGCAATCAATGTTACTGCAAAATCAAAGGAGCCAAAACCCCTCCCCCGAGGAGTCATATATTTCTGTCCCCCTTGGTGGGAGTGGAGGTGACCCCTCTATAAGGATCTACAGTCCATACACACCCAGCACAAGGCCGGGGGTCACACTACCAGACGCTTCTCGGGCTGCAGTTCCTCTGAACTCCACAAGGTGGGGATCTCACTTCTACCCACACAGGAAGTCTCTATGGAAGACAGGAAGTGATGTCAGGTACAGACAGGAAGTGATGTCAGGTACAGGCAGGAAGTGATGTCAGGTACAGACTGGAAGTAGTGAGGAGAACTTGGTGGAAGTGGCAGCAGAGGAGGTAATAAGATGTTATTGTCTATTTACACCCCAGTAACCCCCATCAAGTCCGTCCTCTTCTTCCATAGTCACATCTGTCCTCTTCCTCCATAGTCACGTGCGTCCTCTTCCTCCATAGTCACGTCCGTCCTCTTCCTCCATAGTCACATCCGTCCTCTTCCTCCATAGTCACGTCCGTCCTCTTCCTCCATAGTCACGTCCGTCCTCTTCCTCCATAGTCACGTCCGTCCTCTTTCTCCATAGTCACGTCCGTCCTCTTCCTCTATAGTCACGTCCGTCCTCTTCCTCCATAGTCACGTCCGTCCTCTTCCTCCATAGTCACGTCCGTCCTCTTTCTCCATAGTCACGTCCGTCCTCTTCCTCTATAGTCACGTCCGTCCTCTTTCCCTCTTCCCCTTACATTGCTGCTCAGGAGGAAGGAAACATTCCCCAGCCGGCCATGAAGAATATGTTCCATCATTGGTGTCAGAGGGAGGGAAATACTGAGGGGTCTGAGGGAAGTAGAGGAGCTGAGGGGTCTCTCAGGGGGTACTACAGATAAGGAACTTTTGGGGCCCCTGAAGGGTAGTGGAGCTCAGGGCCAACCCTTTCAAGACCAAGGGACGTATTTGTCCCATGTTTTTAATTGCGTGTAGGATCTGATTAAGAACTTAAAACTTTTTTTTTTTTGGTTTGAGTCAAAATATTAGTTCTTATCAACAAACAACAAATGGATGAAACTTTTTGCCAATTATTTCATGAAATGGCTTAGTTTACAGCAATTGAAGTGTACGAACTTTAAAAACAAAAAAATTGATTCTTTTGGCGTTCCAAAATCTTACGGTCCTCAAAGGGTTAAGGAGGCAGAGTAGTTGAAAGACTCTGGGCCCTTGGTGGGCACTCTTCTTAGAGGATGTCTGTTTTTGCAGCATTGCCTAAAAGGTAGTCAGGGGTCAGTGCTGAACATCTTCAGGAGACACTCCAATACCTCCCATGACACAGGCTCTGGCTGTGCCCGGTGCTGGAATTCAGAGCCCCAGGAACCCACCACCACTCTGTACAATGTCCTGGATTCCAGACAATACTTGGCAACCAAGAGAACCCCCTATTGTCCTCCTACTCACACTGGGCTGTCATTGGAGGGAAGAGAACAGACTCCTCCCCCACAGCTCTCTATGACACCAGCACCATCCTCCTGCTATGCAATCCAATCCCTTCTCTTACTGCAGAGAGTGACAGTGACATCACTCCTGTCAGTCAGCAGGCTGCCGGAGATTGGAGCCTTGCAGCCGGATATCGGGCAATTATCCAGCAACTCCAATTAAATGTCGACAAGTTCCCCTTCCTGGACCTCATGATGACCCAACATTGACCTCACAGCACGGCCTCAGAGCAAACAAGTCATAGGAAGGATCATATTTATCATTCCTTGTCTGCAGATCTAAAACTCATCAAAACCAGTTCAGAGACCAAACAAACCCAACAGAGAAAAGGGGATTTCTGATCTGGAAGGACAAGAGGGTCCCGGGACCTCAAATATGCATCAAACACTAAACACTCCAAAGTAAATGTGTTTCCAGGAGGACAGAAGTCCTGAACTGGTTCCCACCCGGCCTATTGTACAATGACGGCGGACAGGACCTCTCTCCTTCTGGAAGGACGTTGTATGATGTCCTCCCACTCTTGCTGTGCAGGTGGAGGGGGACGCAGCATGGTGATTGGTGGGGAGCTCAACGCATCGCTGATCAGGGAAAAGATCCAATGATGTTGTCTCTTTACCATGTGATCAGCTGTATCCAATCACAGCTGATCACATGTTAACAAAAGCCGGTTATTGGGATTTCCTGTCCTCAGCGCTGCTGTCACTGTCTGAGGAAAGGAAAGGAAAACTGATAACTGGCTTTCCTGTGACAGGGGACATTTACTGTGATTATTAGTGCAGCCCAATCAGTGCCACCTATCAGTGCAGCATATCAGTGCCTCTTCATCAATGCAGCTTTTTCAGTGCCGTTCAGTGAAGGAGAAAAACTGCTTTTTTTACAAACAAAGAAAAAAGCTTTTTTTTCTTCAAAATTGTTGGTCTTTTTTTGTTTGTTTAGCAATAAATGACCCCCCCAGTGGTGAATAAATACTGCACCACCCAAAGAAAGCTCTATCTGTCTAAAAAATGATACAAATGTCATTTGGGTTCAGTGTTGCATGACCATGCAAGGCCGCGGGAGGAAACGGAGGTGACACCGGGTTAGGACAGGAAGGGGAAGTGGGCTCGGAGATATGGAGACACACAGTATAAATAAGACCATCTACCACCAGCAGCCAATCCCTCTTACAGCCCCCTAGAGGAGGGGAAATGCGTCAGTGACGGCTGCGGTGATGTAATTCCCGAATGGTGAGACTCATGTGGATGGGACACTTTCAGTCGGACATTTTGCTTGTATATTATATACAAATGTGAGTGTATATGGTTTGCTGTAAAGGAAGTTTGTAATAAATGGAATGACACCATGTGGGTGATTGTTGTTATCTCCTCCCTGCATACATCATGAGATGAACCATCACTTGTATGATATATTGGGGGGGGGAATTGTACACAATCATCCAGGAGGACTACAAGCTCCAGACTAACCAGGACCATGACACAGCACATAGGACTCCTATTCCAGTGTAAGAGTCCACATCCTGTGGTGGGGGAGGAGAGCACTGGAGGGGGAGCACAGGAGGGGGAGCACTGGAGGGGAGTACTGGAGGGGAGCACTGGAGGGGGGGCACTGGAGGGGAGCACGAGATCTGCACTTTGATGAAAGGAGAAGCACAAGGCACATTATTCCGCACGGTTGGTTGGCGCAGTGTGATTGGAGGAGCACAAGGCACTTTATTCCGCACGGTTGGTTGGCGCAGTGTGATTGGAGGAGCACAAGGCACATTATTCCGCACGGTTGGTTGGCACAGTGTGATTGGAGAGGCACAAGGCACATTATTCCGCACGGTCGGTTGGCGCAGTGTGATTGGAGAGGCACAAGGCACTTTATTCCGCATGGTTGGTTGGCGCAGTGTGATTGGAGGAGCACAAGGCACATTATTCCGCACGGTTGGTTGGCGCAGTGTGATTGGAGAGGCACAAGCACATCAACTGATATAAAAGAACTATTAATATTGATGATTTTATTTTTCTATTCAGTATTTATGAGGGATTTATATTGAATTTGGATGGATTTTCATGCAGTTGGACACGTTGGGAATGGGCAGAGCCTAGAATAGTACTGTATATGACCGCACAATTGTCATCCAAACTGCGACAGCACTGACATCTGAAAAGTGTTCTGGTCAGGAAGGGGGTGGAAGTGTCCGGTATTGAGGTGATTAGATGTCCAGCAACCCTCCTATTCCCCCCTCACATCCACATCCTATTATTGTGTGACCAATACCATCCAAATACACTCACTGGCCACCCTATCAGGTCCACCTATTCAATTGCTGGGTAACACAAACTTCTAATCAGCCAATCACATGACAGCAACTCAATGCATTTGGGCATCTAGACGTGGTGAAGATGACTTGCTGAAGTTCAAACTGAGTATCAGAATGGGGAAGAAAGGGGATTTAAGTGACTTTGAATGTGGTGTGGTTGTTGGTGCCAGGCAGGCTGGTCTGGGTATTTCAAAAACTGCTGATCTCCTGGGATTTTCACCCACAACCATCTCTAGGGTTTCCAGTGAATGGTCCAAAAAAGGGAAAATATCCATCAAGCGGCAGTTGCATGGAGGAAAATGTTTTGTCTATGTCAGAGGAGAATGGGCGAGATTGGTTGCTGTGACATTCAGATGGTAGTGTCAGAATTTGGCATAGACAACATGAAAGCATGGATCCATCCTGCCTTGTATTCATGGTTCAGGCTGGTGGTGTCATGGTGGGGGGGAGATTTTCTTGGCCCTAGTAAGGTGGACCTAATAAAGTGGCCGGTGAGTGTAATTCTTACTTTCATTTCCCAAAGTTATCCGTCTACAAAGAGACCTGTATAGATCACATGATGGCACCAATGAGGATGGAGGAGGACCGGAGTCACATGACTGAGAAGATACTAAACCTCACCCTGGAGATCATCTACCTGCTGACCGGAGAGGTGAGGAGGATTCTGGGAGGTCACATGACATCACTCTCATCTCTATAAATAAAACACAGACCTGACCGGAGAGGTGAGGAGGATTCTGGGAGGTCACATGACATCACTCTCATCTCTATTAATAAAACACAGACCTGACCGGAGAGGTGAGGAGGATTCTGGGTGGTCACATGACATCACTCTTATCTCTATTAATAAAACACAGACCTGACCGGAGAGGTGAGGAGGATTCTGGGAGGTCACATGACACCACTCCTATCTCTATTAATAACACAGACCTGACCGGAGAGGTGAGGAGGATTCTGGAGGTCACATGACATCACTCTTATTTCTATTAATAACACAGACCTGACCGAAGAGGTGAGGAGGATTCTGGGAGGTCACATGACATCACCCATCTCTATTAATAAAACACAGACCTGACCGGAGAGGTGAGGATTCTGGGAGGTCACATGACATCACACAGACCTGACCGGAGAGGTGAGGAGGATTCTGGGAGTCTAACATGATATTCCTATTGGTTCCTCAATACAGAGATTTCCTCTTCTGAAGTCAGGTGATCATATGACCATCAAAGTGCCTCCATGTGACTCCCTAAACCCTGAGAGACACAACATGCAGAAGATTCTAGAAGTCACCAAGAAGATGATGGAGCTGCTGACAGGAGAGGTGAGCGGTGCCGGAATTCTGGGACATTCTCCAGTAACAGACAAGGGATGTGTCTGGATGGTGACTGTATCATTGTGTGTGTCAGGTTCCTATAAGGTGTCAGGGTGTCACTGTCTATTTCTCCATGGAGGAGTGGGAGTATTTAGAAGGACACAAGGATCTCTACAAGGACGTCATGATGGACAATTAGCCGCCCCTCACATCACCGGGTAAGAGGAGACTTTATTGTAAAGGAGAGAGCAGTACGGAGGATCCACCTAGATCCCCCATCATCTGATAAACACATAGAAACAATGGATTCAGTCAGTGTGTGTGTTTCCTACAGATGGATCCAGTCATGGGAACCCACCAGAGAGATGTCCCCGTCCTCTGTATTCCCGGGATTCCACACAGGAAGGTCACACCATCCCTCACCATCATCAGGTAGATGATGACAATTATTGGTAGTTGTGATTTATAAACAGCATGTTTGTTACAATGAATGGTTTATGTACATTATCTGCACTGTGTCAGGGCAGGATCTGAGGAACGGACAGGCAGGCCTAACAAAGTAATGCACTGACTGGCGACAACCACCACCCACAGACCAAAGTCCCTCAGGGCGCGGAGTCTAAGTCCCAGGCTGCCCTTCACCAGGGCCCCTGATGGTGGGGATGGACTTGACGCAGCCAGGAACCAGGTCGCGGCCCCCCGAGACACCTCAGTTGCGGTAATGGCCACCGCCAATGGCGTGTAGCTGGTGGAAAAGACAAAAGAGTAGTCAGGCAGGCCGGGTCAACAACAACGGGACAAAACGGTACAGGACAGCAGACGAGAATCACAGGTCACAAGCCGGGTTCAGCAACAGAGGGTCAGATCAAAGGAGAACGCAAAGAATAGTCGAGTCACAAGCCGAGTCAGATTCCAGGACAGTCACGAGAGTCAGAACCGAGTAATAGCGACACAAGACACAAGTGCAAAGAGCATATGCGGACCACAGGCTTATATGTCATTAGCCACACCCCTCTGGGGGATGGACCTCAGAGACCTGAAGGCATAAAGGATTCCCACCATGCTCAGCAGAAATCCAAGATGGACGCCAGCACATGGAGTAATATAACCTCAGGGAAAAGGTAGGACCTTGACAGTACCTCCTCCTCAAGGGCCCCTCCCCCTCCGCGGCTCAACAAAAGGTTTCTGAGGAAAGCGGGTATGAAAAGCGCGGAGGAGAGCAGGAGCATGGATATCCGCGGAAGGAACCCAGGAACGCTCCTCGGGACCATAACCGCGCCAATGAACCAGGAACTGTAATCGACCGCGCACCAATCGAGAGTCCAGGATCCGGCTCACCTCATACTCCTCATGACCATCAACCTAGATGGGACGGGGCCGAGGCAGAGAGGTAGTGAAGCAATTGCAGATCAGAGGTTTCAACAGGGATACATGAAAGATATTGGAGATCCGCATCCCAGGCAGAAGGGCAAGGGCATAGGCCACCGGATTCACTTTGCGGAGAATGCGGAAAGGACCAACAAAACGGGGAGCTCGTTTGGGTGTGGGCACCCAAAGATTGAGGTTGCGAGTAGACAACCACACCCGATTGCCGACCTGGTATGAAGGAGCGGGCAACCGTCTGCGATCAGCCTGGAACTTCTGACACTGAGCCGAGTCCCTCAAGGCCCTCTGGATCTGCCCCCATGAAGAACGCAGGGCAGCAAGATGGTTCTCCACAGCCGGAATGTCCTGTGGTGAGAACCTCTCAGGTAATACTGCGGATTGGAACCCATAGTTGGCCATGAAGGGAGACATCCCGGAGGAGGAGTTGACCGCCGAGTTCCTGGCAAACTCTGCCCAAGGCAGGAGATCGGCCCAATCGTCCTGATGGTCCGAGATATAACACCGAAGGAATTGTTCTAAGGCCTGACTGGAACGCTCCGCAGCCCCATTGGACTGCGGGTGGTAGGCTGATGAAAAAGAGAGACTAATACCCAATTGGGAGCAGAAGGCGTGCCAGAATCTGGACACAAACTGACTCCCGCGGTCCGAGACAATCACCTTAGGCAACCCATGCAGGCGAAAAATCTCCCTGGAAAAGACCGTGGCCAGTTCTTGCGCTGTTGGTAATTTCCTGAGTGGAATGCAATGGCACATCTTGGAAAACCGATCGACGATTATGAGGATGACTGTATGACCCCGAGACACCGGGAGGTCTACAATAAAGTCCATACCTAGGTGTGACCAAGGACGCTCCCCATTGGGAAAGGGTTGCAGAAGACCCAAAGGGAGATGCCGTGGAGACTTATTCTGGGCACAGATCGAACATGCCGCTACATAAGAGGCAATGTCGGCACGGAGGGTTGGCCACTAGAATAAGCGAGAGACGACCCAGCACAGCTG